TATTCTTCGATTGTTCACTACAGGAAGCAATCGTTCGCCCAATGGCTCTGAGCCAACGAATGTTCCCGCCGGCCTTTTTGGCTCTCGGCATGGTGTTACCTGAAAGCTGCAAATTTATTTCGAGGTTAAGACTACCAACAATCTCAAATTAATTAAAAGCCGCAAAGTTATGATATTTTGTTCAGCGGTACCAGAATGATACGCCATCGCATGGACCCGGGCATTAATGCGAAACTGCTGAACCATTTCGGGAGGACTGAGGTTGAGTAGAACTCAAGCATTTCTTACATAATAATACCAATTGATTTTTTCTTTTCTCACAATCAGGAAGAAGACATTGTGTATGAAGATTACGAGCAGGACCCCGAAACGAAATCACCCATTTATGGCGACTCGGATCTGGAAGCACTTGGTTAGGTTTTCCAACCAGCGTAGCATTCTTACTAAAACACATAGCTGCCTGGTTAAGATTTGAAATCCTCTTGCAGGCAGGAAACGTATTTAGTCTTTACATTAGCAAAACTTGGAAATATATGGGCGTAAAGATAACCTTTTGATGAAAAGATCCCGCCTTGCTGCATTGGAAGAGATGAAAGGATAAAGTGAGAAGTTTTACCAGACAAGTCTTTTTTACAAAGTTGTTGTTGATGTTAATCAAAGACAACTTTGTAAAAAAACATTATAAATTTAATTCTGATTTGATTTGAATTTGAGCACTTGGTGTTTTGATATGTTAAACTCAAAAATAGCCCCTGTTTCGTACTGTAACGTCTCGCGATACGTGAATATGACTGAGTCTTTGATCGAAATTGGTGAAATGGGCCTGCATGGGCTGCGATCACATTGTAGACGAATCTTAGCACGAAGTCTTTTGCTGGACCTTCAGGGTGAATTTTTTTCTGGGAAAACCAAGGAAGTCCACTTACATGTATTCGGGCTTTTCTGAAGAAACGCATGCAGAAAGGAAAGTTCTGCATCGCCATTTGCTTGGAGCACCTTTTTAAAAGTATGGTTTTGTGTCTGTAAGCAAGGAAGGGGAGGGGAGGAAGGGGGTGAAGCTTTGACAAGTGTTGTTATTTGAACAAGGTGCAAAGGGTGCATAACATGTCAATGAAAAACGGCGAATATGAAACGAAAAATGTCTGCTAATCGGAGATCTCAAGTCTTTCTTGGGTGGAGACCTAAATCACTGCTACCAAGTTTCTTTCATCTTCATCTTCCAAAAATGTAACGTACACCTCCCAAACTCTTTAGCGCATCATTAACCCAAATTTGTTACCCGTTTTATAGAAATTTGAGCGGATACTGAAAGTAGGTATGGATACCCGACAGATGCGCACTTTGATGTAAACCTCATCTTGAAGAGGCTTACGAGTTTGTTGATCGGTTAATGGAGATGACGGGGGAAACTGCTAGAATTTAAAGAAGACAAATCAGTCCTTTCTACTTAACCCGGTGCGGTTTTTCCTTTATTCACCCAATAACAAATCCCGGTTCCCTAAGGAGACTTCGCACTGACCTCTAAGAAAGTCATCTTGACAGATTTGAAAGCTTGTGTAAACGTCTTGAAGGGGATGGGCGGGGGGAAGGGGTCCTGACTGAACGATCTAAATCGTGCAGATTAGATTTGTATCAAATTGGCATCTGCAGTGTTACAAATTCCCTTTTTATTGGTCAAAGGCGATGTGATGCGAGTCATGGTTTGATACCGTCCCTCTGAAAAGAATTTTTATCCCTCTTAAATGTCGATTTTCTCATGAATTTATGGGAAGGAACACTTGCAATAAACGCATGTACAGATATGCAAGTTTTGAAAAGGGATTACTCGCTTTGGCTACCTCTCTGTTAATTGTGCAGAGCTGAAGGTTGATGCGCTTGGACAGCGACGGCCTTCAGGGGCCATTAATCGTTATCTCAGGTTGGAGGTAATCCAGCTTAGCAGGGCTACGTTATCCAGTGTAGTGATCCAAAGATACTTCAGGGCATATACGAAAATTCTCGACGTTTACCTATCATGTGCAGTGGGTATCTTCTCTCATGTACTGTGGCTGGTTCACACTTTTGGGACGTCTATTTTCTAATGCCGACAACAAAAGAAAAAGCGAATAGAACCGGAGAGCATACAAGTGTTAGAGGGTTGCATTTGGCCATTTGAGTTCTAAAGTAAACCAACCTTCACATTCATACATTCTCATAAGCGAAAAGGTTGGTTTTAATTATTTCCGGTTAAGCGCAGATGCTATAGAAATCCCGAATGAGTAAAAGCAGTCACAACAAGCAAAATGCGAATGCTCTAGACCTCTTGTGCATCCCGTTTCCTGCTTTCAGTCCAGGAAAGACTAGTATTATCTATGCTGGCGCAATTTTCTCTACATGGTCTCATACGTGCCCATCGCTTACTTACTTCAATCACCTGCAACTGTACACTAATATTTCTAACCATCAGCTTTTGACTTTGCCATCGGCCTTATGTATGCATTTGTACGCATGAGAATCAAAAACGCCTCGTACGTGGCTCTTAAATATGTCAGTGAGCGTATGAGCGTAAGTGTGCAATGCCATCAAACATACTGCGAGTTTATGATCGAGAATACTGACGCGCTGACATGCGGCGTCATTTGAACGAAAGGTTAAGGCTGTGCATCACGGATGATGTTACGGGATTCTCGTGCTTGGCACACATCTATTAGTGCTCTGACTTTGTGCGTACGCTAAAGGCAGAATTCAAGAGAGTTTTGTGCACAATGGAAAGGATACATTCCGTGCAGAATAAGACGAATAGGTTTTCTAACGGAGACAAACAAGGCATAGACGATTGCCACCACGCTATGAAACAAAATTGCTGCAATGAAGCTTCTTGGGGCTAAAATTCTGGATTTTAAAGAAGCTTCGTTAATTCAAACAGTTAATGTTTTCGCTCTAAGCGCTCCTTTACAGAATTTTCGTTTACTGCAGTATGTCCTCCAAAGCATTACGGTATTGCCTTGCAATGTTAACTGGCAGAAATCGTCCATTTAGATCCTAATGCGTGCCGTGCTCTACGGGAATTGTTAGCGCAAATTTAGAAGACTTTTTAAAGTACCCGGGTGGATGTGCAGTTAAACAGTATTGAGTTTTTAAGTTTCTATGACAGTTTTCTAGAAAGGCCGTTAGTACAATGAAATTGAGTGGGAACCATTTTGTTTTAGTCTTTGCCAATCACTGACGTTCCGTCTCTAATAATATTATCAATCCCTATGGGCTGTTGTGTTTTGCAAAGACGGAAATCATAGCGGTTTTGCGCCCCTTTTTATCCGTTGCTGTTTGTTCCATCTTGCTCTTCGACATTGGAGATTAATCTTCCTTTCTGATTTCCCGCGAAATTAGTATGTTGACTGGGCTATTTAGGTAGAGGTGGAGGTATTGGATCACTTAATAGAAACTTTATTATCCTTATCCTTTTTTT